AACCATTATACCCTGATTTCCCATTTTCAATGGGTTCAGGGTATAAAAATAAATGCATAACAACAAACAAAATATATAATTGAAGAAATAAAATTTTACATTCTTTCATATTTTTATAATAATCATTTTTCACAGATAACAAATCAAATGATTGAGACATGCAAGTCCTACATCACTTGTCGTTGCAAGGAAACCATTTGGTCTCAAGATCGAACTCTTATACGCACCAAGTTGAGCAACTGCATCAAACTGAATCACATTTACCATGAGACCTATTACACAGTCAGGGAGCAGCCATTTTTGCCGCATCAAACTCCATTTGGATTCTCCGAAAACTTTGTATTTGGTGGGTGAACAAGAGTATTATAAATTGAACGAAATCTTAATTGTTTTTTCTCTTCAGGCAAATTCGACACGTTTTGCGAGCGTCTGTCGAAAATTATAAATATGTTTAACCTGATTGACGATTACAATCATTTGTTTGAGCGGCGCTTGGAGGGTCTGCTGCTAGGCGAGGCCTTGGAGGATGCCTCCAACCACTTCGAGGAGGCCAAAAAGGAAATCACATCCAAGAAGTACGATTACCTGGACCATCGCAATGCTGATTTCAATGACGACTTCGATCGATTCATGAGCAAAACGGACTCGCTTAAGGACACGATTGCCACGCTCATCGAGCGAGACTTTGACACGGTGTGGGAGACGCCTCAGTGCATTCGCTTTCTGGTGCGCTTCGAGAAGGTCAGCGAGAAGATACCGCTGACCCGCATGGACGAGAAGTACACTCGCATACTGCGCTATGTAGAGAAAGAGGTGGATCGCATACTGAAGACCTTTCGTCGTCAGCGCGATGATCCGCCTCTGGCTCGCAACTTTCCGCCCATCGCTGGGCGAATCCACTGGTGTCGCGCCTTGCGCTTGCATCTGTCGGAGCTGATGGATGCCGTGATGGATCACGGCGTGCTCAGCACCCTGCCCCTAGCCAGAGATCTGGATGTGCGCTTCAACAATGTGATGGGCGTCTTGCAGGAGTACGAGGATGAGATAGTCTCCATTTGGCTGGATCAGGACATAAGCGTGGCCGATGCCTGCCTGCTGCAGCCGTTGCTCTGTCTACAGGGCGATCGATTGTTTGTCAACTTGCATCCCACAATACCTCTGCTGATTCGCGAGGCCAAGATGCTGGCCAAGCTGAAAATCGAGCTGCCCATTGTGGCTGCCACGCTGATGAGTCGCCATCAGTATTTCATCACCATACAGGACTCGCTGAATGTGAGGCGAGACAGCTTTAACTGCTCGCATTTTGTCTCTTACATTTTCATTTTTTCCTCTTTCCGCAGAGCCTTATCAAAATGTTTTTGTCCACGGTCAAGGCTGTCAAGCTGGAGGTGCGTCCCTTGTTTCTGCCCCAGCTGGTGCGTCTGACGGCCATGCTGAAGCCAGGTCTGCACACCATCAATGTAAGTGCCGCAGTCTGCCCGCTGACGCTCTCTGACACTGACAATCGCACTTCCGTTTCGTCCCGTTCCCGTTCCATTTTTATTTGTTTTTCATGCAGTGGACCAACCAGAACTGGACTCAATTCTATGAGCGCTGCAAGCAGGCCATTGAGACCTTCGAGGTGTTGGTGGCGCGCGTGCACGACATCTACTCGAACCGCATACTCAATGTGCTCATGTGGATGCAGGAGGTGTCGCTGCAGATATTGCCAGCAGGTGTGACCCCCTTTCTAATTGCTGGAGCCCACTTGGGTCTCTATTTAATTTTATGCTTTTCGAAAACTTTGCACATTTATTTCCTGCTGCAGACGATGAAATCTGGACAGTTGATGAATTTCTGGAACGCAGTGAGGAGGCGTGCAGGTAAATTTGTTACCTGCCAGCTATGAATATGTATATATGTATGTGATTGTGTGTGTGTGTGGCCACAGGATTCGCTTGAACTTTGCCATGAAGTTAGCTGCCTGCGGTTGACTTTGCCAGCTTTTGTGTGATTTATTGAATTTATCAATTTTAATTTATGTATGAGATTTTTCATTTGCATAGATACAAAGCTTGATCTGCATATAAAGGAATGTGTGCGAGTTCCCAGCTTTAACATTAATCAAAGAATATGCGATTTCATGTGCACACATCATGTTTACCTAAGTATTCGTCTTTGATTTGCTCTTCCATTAAGCATCATTTCAGCAATTGCAACTGTCTAAATATTGTTAAGATTTCTTTTGTCGCCCACAGAAAAGCTGCCATCGAGCTCAATAGGAAAAGTCAGATGGTCTCGGAGGCAGTGGAAGAAGTGCTTAGCTTAGTGGACAAGGCAACGGAGACGTTTAAGGAGATTGCTGGCGATGATGTGGTTACCCTGTTCGACGGCAAGTCCCACAATTGCTATGCAGCTCAACTCGATTCAATGTATGCAAATCTCTCTTCAATAGCCACGCCCAAGGGCGACCAGTCCGCATCGGGTGGACGTAAGGCGGAGGAAGGCGGTGCGGCTGGAGCTTCAGCGGCGAATGCATCGGGTGGAGCTACATCGGGTGGAGGGGCTGGCGGTCAACAGCAGGACTGGAGCATTTTGTGGTCCTGTTTTGAGAATCCGCTGACGCTGCTCTCCACCACAGACAGTCTGCCCAAGGGCATGCAGGTGGTCGCAGAAATCGCTTAGCATAGAGAGTAGCTAATATATTCCCGGTCTGCCTTAGGACATGGTCTGCAATGCTGTCGTGGAGATGCGTCGCTATTACAGCCGCAAGGTCATCGATGTGCTGATCAAGGTGATTCGCGCGGCCCTGGACACACTGCGGCGTCGGTTCATCGCCGATGAGAACGAGACGGCATTAAAGAAGCCGATATTTGCATTGCACGCGCAGCTGCAGATACCCAATGTGGTGATCAAGCCGAGTCTGGACGAGCTGCAGGACATTTTGGTGACGGCTGGCAAGAATATCACGGGCATTGCGAAGGGTGTGGCGCAGTGGACCAGCGGCAAGGATCCGCCGGTTCGTACCACACCGTTAAACAGCTTCGCAATGTTCTCAAAAATCTTGTCTTACCAACCGCAGCAAGTTTCGATGACGGTGCAGCCGCGCGTCGGACGCAATCACACGGATGCCGCTGGTGGCTCCAAGAATCGACGCCGCAAGATCTACTGCCTGGCCTCCGAGGAGCGACCCCAGATGCCGTACATGCTCAAGAGCTTCTACTCGGCCATCATGGACAACAAAGAGGTGGCTAAGGCCCTCAATCAGCTATCCAGCTGCACCAAGAACATCAAGCCCGAGATTCAAACCTACATCAAACGCTGGAAGCCGTATCACTTCCTATGGAAGAACGATCGCACCACTCGCCAGCTGATGGAGTTTGGGCTGCAACAGTTCGAGTCCACATTGCGCTGCCTGGCGGAACTGGATGCGAACCTTCTAATTGAGCCGGACATGGAGGTCTTCGGGCAGTGCGTAGCGGTCTATAATGAGAGGCTCAAGTATGGTTTGGCCATTGAGATTAAGTGTGAGTAGTCCAGCTGGGATAAACTGTATATAAGTTGTAAATAATCTGTATATATTATGTGTATATATATTTTCATAATAATATTGCTTATAGAGAACATTCAACAGAGCTCATTGCTAAAGAAAGATGGAAGTCATCATAGTAGACATTAGAGTTTGATAACAAATTATATAAAAATAAGCCATAATTCCCATATATCATATATAATCTCAAGTCATATTAGTTATAGAGAACATTCAACTTATTAATAAGACCGTATAACTCATATATGAGGTGTAAGAATGAGTTCTTTAAATTGATTATTGACATAATAGGATACATTAGATTGACGTACAATTCCATAATAAATAATTTATAAAAATAAAATATTGGCCATATATATAATTTCATATTCATATTGCTTATAGATCACATTCGACTTGTCATGAAACTCATTCAACATATCATATAACTCATATAAGATTTTCAGAATGATTTTAGACATTATAGTAGACATTATATATCAAATGAATGAATAATACCATATTCCCTATCTCATATCTGAGCTGTAAGATTAAGTTCTATAGAGCTACTAATTTTGATTTTCGATTTTATAATAACTGAAATATAGAATTTGATTCTTATTAACAACTAGACTATTCCCAAATACTTAGGCCTTTATATTTATTTAAATTTAAATATTAGTCCGTTTCCTACATATGCCTAGAACGTGTTTTGACATCTGGGTTGTGTTAATTTGATTTCCTTTGGCAACACCTTAAACATTTGTCAGTTTATTCATCATAAATTTGACACCCACGCACACTAACGCAGACACTGTCACACACACGCATCCAGCACACACACACATTGAGCCGTAGACAAATAGACCTTAGCAGTCAGCCATTCAAATTTATTGGTTTCCAATTAGGTAATCAAATTTATTTTGCCGCATTAGCTGTGCTGTAGGAAGCCCGAGCAAATAAATGTGGGTCCATGTTGCCACGTCTGGTTGCATGAATGCGAATTCAAATACGAGAGCGCAAATCAATTAGCCCCCTGCCAGGGGTTTTGCATTGATTAATGGCCTTCCTTATGTCCTAGTAAGGTGTAAACAGTTTTTGGCTCTGTCTCACTTTTCAGCCTGCAACCATAAAATTGGGCAAGCCATGAAGAAGAAATATAAGAAGGAAATGGACTATGTGTATGCGGTGATCAATGAGATGGATCGTAAACTGGACCGACCCATACGTGACCTGGACGATGTGCGCATGATAATGGAGACACTGAGTAAGATTCGCGAGCAGGAGGTGGACATGGAGCTGCGCATAGATCCCATTGAGGTGCGTTCCAAGTGTGCCAAGGCATCATACATTTTTATTATATTCTTTACTATATGCAGGAAGCCTTCAATGTGCTCACTCGTTACGAGGTGCAGGTGGAGCGGGAACAATTCGATTTGGTGGACAATTTGCGGACAACATTTCAGAATTTACTCTCTGCAGCGCTGCAGGCGCAGGTGAAACTGTTGGAAATGCAGCCGGCGTTCCAGGGTGACTTGCGCAGCAATCTAGACAACTTTAAGCAGGATAAGATTGCCTATGTGACGGAATATCGCACAGCGGGACCCATGCAGGCGGGTCTAACGCCGCGCGAGGCTTCCGACCGTCTGATACTGTTCCAGAATCGTTTCGAGGGCATGTGGCGCCGCCTGCAGACGTACCAAAGCGGCGAGGAACTCTTCGGTCTGCCACAAACCGATTATCCAGAGCTGGGCCAGATACGCAAGGAGCTCAATTTGCTGCAGAAACTCTACAAGCTATACAATGATGTGATTGATAGGGTTAGCAGCTACTACGATATACCGTGGAACGAGGTCGACATTGAAGAGATTAACAATGAGCTAATGGAGTTCCAGAACCGTTGTCGCAAGCTACCCAAGGGCTTGAAGGAATGGCCCGCCTTCCATGCTCTGAAGAAGACCATCGACGATTTCAATGACATGTGCCCACTATTGGAGTTGATGGCGAATAAAGCCATGAAGCCACGCCATTGGCAACGGATCATGGATGTTACTCGCTACATCTTCGAGTTCGACTCGGAGGGTTTCTCGCTCAAGAACATACTGGAGGCGCCGCTGCTCAAGCACAAGGAGGACATCGAGGATATTTGCATCAGCGCCATGAAGGAGAAGGACATTGAGGCCAAGCTCAAGCAGGTGACCAACGAGTGGTCTGTGCACGAGCTCCAATTCATGAGCTTCAACAATCGCGGCGAGCTGCTACTGCGCGGCGACACAACAGCCGAGACCATTGGCCAGTTGGAGGATAGTCTAATGGTGCTCGGCTCTTTGCTATCGAATCGCTATAATGCGCCCTTTCGCAAACAAATCCAGCAATGGGTCTACGATCTGTCCAATTCCAACGAAATACTGGAACGCTGGCTGCTTGTACAGAACATGTGGGTCTACCTCGAGGCTGTCTTCGTGGGCGGCGACATAGCCAAGCAGCTGCCCAAGGAGGCGAAGCGCTTCTCCAAAATCGACAAGTCCTGGCAGAAGATAATGCAGCGCGCTCACGAGACTCCAGGTAAGTCGATTGTCATATTTTCCTGCTCAAATATATATTTTAATATACATTCTACTTAATTCCTCATTATAATGTGGCCTTTTCCTAAATTATAATTACATTACATATGCTTAAAATTTAATAAAAAACTCTAAAAACAGGCGTGGTGGCCTGCTGCGTGGGCGATGACCTGCTCAAGCAGCTGTTGCCACATCTTCAGGAGCAGCTAGAAATATGTCAGGTACTACCTATATAAATATACAAATACCTGACGTGGATGTAGCCCAAAAACTTGTAATCGAGCAAATATTAAAGTATTTATTTATTTTAATTGCCCTCCTTCTGTAGAAATCCCTGAGCGGTTATTTAGAGCGCAAGCGGATTATGTTTCCGCGCTTCTTCTTCGTCTCGGATCCAGCTCTGCTCGAGATACTTGGCCAGGGCTCCGATTCACATACCATTCAGAATCACTTGCTAAACATCTTCGATAACACCAAATGCGTCAAGTAATACAATCGAAGTGAAAGTGCAAATTTCATTTGGATTGAATATGCCTTATTGCAGATTCCATGACGTGGAGTACAACAAGATGATGGCGATCATTAGCAGCGAGGGCGAGATGATTCAGCTGGATCGTGCCATACGGGCCGAGGGCTCGGTCGAGACATGGCTAACTCAATTGCTGGTCACAGCACAGCAGTCACTGCATTCCATCATACGCACAGCCTATGCGACAATAAACGACCCGAATTTCACGTTGTTGAGCTTCTTAGAGAAGGTGCCGGCACAGATTGGTTTATTGGGCATACAAATGATTTGGACGCGCGATGCAGAAATGGCTCTGATGCAGGCCAGGCATGAGAGGAAGGTCATGTCCGAGACGAACAACAAATTCCTTGAGATGCTCAACACACTCATCGATCAGACGACTCGCAATCTGTCCAAGCGCGAGAGAACCAATTTCGAAACCCTGATTACCATCCACGTGCATCAGCGGGATATTTTTGATATACTGGTAGGGCCTGACAGACTCTTAGGTATATCCTGCTCTAATATATTTTCTACTTTGCAGTGTCGCATGAACATCAAATCCTCAAATGACTTCGAGTGGCTAAAGCAATGTCGTTTTTACTTTAAAGAGGACTTGGACAAGACCTGGATATCTGTCACAGACGTCACATTCACCTACCAGAACGAATACCTGGGCTGCACAGATCGGCTGGTGATAACGCCCCTGACGGATCGGTATGTCTTATTTATAGTTATATACAATCCCCATCAACAACTTTATCGTTACTATTTAACGCAATTATGTGACCACGTTAAGCGCTTCAGATGACTGCCTCTTAAATTGAATTAAATGTTTGCTCTTAAAAAGTTATAAAGTCGACAGCTTGGTTAAGTTAATTTTAGCTTCAGCTAACTAAAAAAGCTTTAGCTAATGGCAAAAGCAGAAACCGTGTTTTGTCATCCGCTTTTTGGATGGAGGAACTGTCTGGTGAAACCGCACATAGGGTCATGATAGAGAGGGACAGTGATAAGGAGGGAGCTTTACAAACATTTCTCTCTCTCTCTTTCTCTACGGATGATACGAAAAAGGCTTTTGCCAGTTGTAGAGTAATTTATATATTCTATAAATATTTAATATAAATTATTAAAGCCGCTATAGTAAAATATCAAATGTCAATATTTAGCCTAACTAACTAATCGAGTTTGTTGTGAAACTTTCCCTTGGAACAGCAATTAAATTTCAGTCTCATTGCCAATGTCATAAGAACTTCAAGTTTAACTTCATTGTTTGCGAAACAGAAGTTAAGATAAATTAATTTATTGTATTTACATTCCATGTGGCACGTGCAAAAACTTTCACGCAGTCCAGCAATTGAGGCATTTCGGGCGTGCGGCACACGCCCATTGCCGTTGCCCAATTGCGCTGGCCAAACAAAACTCAAACATGGCCAACAACCGCTGGTCGGCACTTGAACAAGTTCAAAGTCGATACGCAATGGCAACAGACAGTGGCAGCAACTGCGGCCACATTGAAATCCTTTCTACGGGACTAGTTTACGGCGGACAGCCCACGCACCCGCGCGACGGCGGAGGCGACGAGGACGAGGGCGACGTCGTTGACATGCTCGCAAAGATAAATTTCACTTAGAAGAATATAAATAAAGTTTTGGACACCTAAACTGTTCTCGTCCAACATTTCACTCTCAACTCCCGGAAAGCTAACTGACGGCATATTTCATCAAACTTCCCGAGGCAATTTTTGGCCAATACACTTTCAAAAGGCATCATGATTCCTCTGAAAGCAAACTAATGAAAGCTCTAGGCGAAAGTAGTCTAAAAAATATAAACCTTACTTTGTTGTAGAAGTAAATTATTGATTTCATATAGTTAAGTCAAGCATAGTACGGAATATGTATAGAGCATATTCATATATTGCATATATATTCGTAAACCAACTTCTCCTACCCATATCATCTGTCAGAAATTGGAAACATCTTAATCATCATTATCCGTATGTCTGAGAGGGTATTTGGAGTTTATGTCTTTGATATCAGCCTTCTATCCGAACTTCCGTTTCTGCTATGCCCCCGACTTTGGCGTTGTTCATCATGCCAAGCGTAGAGGCCTTGTTCTTTGCGAGTTATTGTAAATTTCACGCTTACTTTGATATCGTGGCGGGGGAAATGCCAAAGGGAATACGTAGCTTAGCTCTTGGCTGACAGCACCTGCTTAAGCTAAATGGCCCGTGTGGTACGGCGTAAACGTAATTTGTCTTCATGTTAAGTTGCCAACTGTCTCTAAGGAAATCGTTGGTACTTAAATAATAGAAAATATTCCTAAGAAATGATAATGAAAAAGAATATTAATTTGTAGACTTTTGCATTTTAAATGCAATTTTCTACGGCTTTCCATAAGTAATCTTCTTTCACGCCCACTTTCAGTTGCTACATTACCTTAGCCCAGGCGCTGACACTCAGCATGGGCGGCGCGCCGTGTGGCCCGGCGGGCACGGGCAAAACGGAAACTGTGAAGGATATGGGCAAGACGCTGGCCAAGTATGTTGTCGTTTTTAATTGTTCCGATCAAATGGATTACAGGTAAGACAGGACTACAAACAAAAGACAATGGGCACTTAAAATGCGGCTCACATCGCTGCGCAACAACTCATTCAATTTCGCGCTGCTCTCGCTGTTCCCTTTGTGCAGGGGCCTGGGACGTATCTACAAGGGTCTGGCGCAGTCCGGCAGCTGGGGCTGTTTCGACGAATTCAATCGCATCGAGCTGCCCGTGCTGTCCGTGGCGGCCCAACAGGTGGCCGTTGTCCTCACCGCCAAGAAGGAGAAAAAGAAGACTTTCCTCTTCACAGACGGCGACACCATCGAAATGAATCCCGAGTTTGGCATCTTCATAACCATGGTAAGCAACCCTCGGCTCCAGATGAACATATTTTGTTCTATACCCTAAGTGCCTAGTTAATGGCCCTGCTAATTCAACTAGCGCACTTTATCACGCTCTCAACTCGTCGCAATTGCCACTTTCTGTAATGTACTTAACGCTAATTTCAATATACCTGGTTAACAATTTCTGTGTGTGAGTGTGTGCGTGTGTAGGTGTGTGAAACTCGTATGAGACTCTTTTGATTAAAAATGCTCTTTTTATCCTTTAAGCATGTGTGTACATTGTACAATATGTACAATGACCCCGGGGTCAATAAACAGCAAAGCTTTATTAGGCATAAATTCCTATATTAATAAAAATGTTTATTAAACCCGACAGACATTGAACAAGATATAAAGGATATCATTAGGTCGAGCTAATTTCTTATTTATTTAAAAATTGTGAGATATTATGCTTTAATAATCTGGTGGATATGAGTCGATTTCTTAATTGAAATACCAAATGTATTTGTATTAATTTATTGTATTTTCATTAATAAATACCACACATTGCGAAGTGCAAATATGAATATCGAACAATTTGAAAATGCGATGTGAGAATACATATTTCGCAAACGCGCTTTGCCGTCAAGCCGAATTTAAAAGCCAGACAAAAAATGCAACGCACAAAAAATAAACGGGTCAAAAAAAATTTGCGTCAAGCGCGAGGCTTTCAAGTCAAATTGATATTTATTAAATATACATATACGTACTCTTTTTTGCGAAACACATAACATTTTTATAAAATTGTGTAAAGAAGCGCCAGCCTGGAAAAAAGTAAGGCATAAAAAGCAAACACATTAAGGTCGCTTGGCGAATCGCTCGGGTGGGGTGAAGGCTGTGCAGAGCGAGCGGGAAATCAGGGGTTCAAAGTGACAGCAGCTTTTTGCAATGCCGCGTTATTAGTCATGTAAAATTTTACTCAACTTAAGCGATAATTAAATTGACAGCTAGAGAGAGACAAGGAGAGAGAGAGAGAGAGAGAGATAGCTGAGCATCCAATTTCTGACATCGCATATCAAATGTGATTATTTCGGGCTTTTAGGCGAGAATGAATGGCTTATTAATAGGCAGCCAAAAAGTGCTGTCTAGTGCCGCATTTTAATTATCAGTCCACTGCCAACTATCAATATGTAATGCGATTAGCTGGCGAGCTCTTATACAATATGCTGTGCTCGGCTCTGCTCTGGCCAGCTCTGCTGCACGCATACGCGCACAGCCATTAGCACAGGTTTTTGTTTATGGCGGGGCACTCGGGTCGTATGCGCAATTTTAATTTGCCCAACTGAATTATTAGGCGCATTTATGTAACAGTTGCTGTCCCCTTTGGGACTGCATTTTGATTCTAATGAAACATTATATGACAGGAGAGCACACATAAATACGGTCACACACTCTCACACATGCGCTTGCTGTTCCCGTTTATTGGCTAAATCCTTTGTTGTGGCTACTTTGCTTATTTCTATGCAGAAAAAAAGAGGAAATATAATGGGCAACCCCACAACAACACGTTGTCGCAGCTACCTTGCCACACCCTGCCAATTCACCGCCGCCCACATTCAACACATACACTCTGTTTACATTTGGATTAGCGTGCCACAAAATCGATTGGTTTATTTCCTTCTCATTTACCTACCTTTTTTGCTAGTTTCTGCTCGTATCAAATGTTCCCATAAATTGACAAATGGGTTTTTACTTTTGGTTAACGTGCGACAGTTTTCGACGTTCTAATAAGTTGATTGCCTATCTAGATTATGTTTCCAGTATTTGTGTGAAATTACTTGCGATTAATTTGAAAGGATTCAAATCAAATTTCCGCTATTCTGCAGCTCAGCATTCAAAACTTTCTACTTTAAATAAATCGATCGTTTAGCATATTACTATTTAATATCTAAATTATTTATTTATTCTTTACTTCTCCAATTCAATTTCTTTCCGTATTTGCTTTATCAAATTTATTTTACTTTAAATGAAAATTTCGGCTCGGCATAGATGTATAATTTTTTTTTTTTTTTGGTATTATTACAAAATTTCTTTCTAGATTGTTTTAAAAAGTATTTATTTACATTTGTAAATTTTATATCCCTTACTTATTCTCTATTTCATTATCAATAAATCTATCTCCTCTGCATATTTATTTCACATCAGCTTACATATTGATGAAATTTTCCTGGGGCATCTTTCAACCCACTTTAATATGTGCCACTATATTACACACAACTCACCTTTTAAATTTCCACCGTAAAATTGTGAACTGCACACTAACACTCGCACACTAACTGTATTTTATTCGCTGGCTGCCTGACTGCCTCGCTGTGGCTGACTGTGTGAATGAGGCAGGAGCACATGCACAGGGCGAGTAAGATAAATCAATTTGTATTTGATAAACTTATTGATATTTGCGAGTAGCATCCAAATGCGTCAAAATTATCCGCCAGGTGGTTGAGTTATGTACGATGGCTGAGGTGACAGGGTACCAGGGTGCCAGGGTGAAAGGCTGCCCTGTGAATCCAGTCTTGTGGGTGGGGTCCCATCGTAAGGACTATGTGGTACACTCGTGCACAATATTTGCAAGCATTTGTTATTTATTTACAGTCCACATGCAGAGAGCAATCGAAACACGTGTAAAGCGATTTGAAATGTTTACCCACAGAATCCTGGATATGCTGGTCGCAAGGAGCTGCCGGAGAACTTGAAAATTCAATTTCGCACGGTGGCCATGATGGTGCCTGACAGACAGATAATCATAAGAGTGAAATTGGCTAGTTGTGGATTTTTGGAGAACATCACACTGGCCCGCAAGTTCTATACCCTGTACAAGCTGTGCGAGGAGCAGCTGACCAAACAAGTTCACTATGATTTCGGTCTGAGGAATATATTGTCCGTGTTGCGCACATTGGGCGCAGCCAAGCGCCGGAACTCTAAGGATAGCGAGAGTACGATTGTGATGCGGGTCCTGCGCGACATGAATCTCTCCAAGCTGATTGACGACGATGAACCGCTCTTCATATCGCTGGTGTCGGACTTGTTTCCCAATCAGGTGAGTGACATGTTCGGCTATAAGTAAATCATTATAACATTTAAAATTAATATTAAATCTATCTCTCGAACAGACTCTCGAAAAGACCAACTACCCTGAATTGGAAGCCGCCATACTACAGCAAACGGAAGAGGCTAGTCTGGTCTACCATCCTCCATGGGTTCTAAAGCTAATACAGCTTTACGAGACGCAGAATGTGCGACACGGCATCATGACCCTAGGTCCGAGTGGGGCTGGCAAAAGTACCTGCATCCATACGCTAATGAAAGCCATGACCCAGATGGGCGATTATCATCGAGAGATGCGCATGAATCCGAAGGCTATAACAGCGGCTCAGATGTTTGGACGTCTCGATGTGGCCACGAATGACTGGACCGATGGCATCTTCTCGGCGCTGTGGCGCAAAACTCTCAAGCTGAAAGCAGGGGAGCATGTCTGGCTGGTGCTCGATGGTCCCGTGGACAGTATTTGGATAGAAAATTTGAACTCTGTGCTGGACGACAACAAGACCCTGACACTGGCCAATGGCGATCGACTGACCATGGCGCCCACGGTTAAGATCATTTTTGAGCCACACAACATTGATAATGCATCGCCGGCAACGGTTTCCCGCAACGGCATGGTGTACATGAGCTCCTCCGGCTTAGACTCACGGCCTAGTAAGGATATTTAATGGCAATCATTTTCATCTATATTCACAGTATAAAAACCTTAGTTGTGCAGGCCTGGCTGAAAAATCGGGCTCCAGGCGAGAAGGCGGTTTTCTCTCAGCTCTTCGACCAGAACTTTGTCGAGGTCTACAACTGGGGTGCACAGAATGTGAAGCTACAAATGCCTGTGCTGCAGTGCAACATAGTGCAGCAGATGCTGTTTATATTGGAGGGACTGATCCCTACGAAAAAAGAGGATGAGCAGGCTTTGAGCTTGTCCAGCAAGGAGAGTCAAGACGGTAAGTTCAATACCGAAGCGAATTTAACCCTTATAGCAGTTGAACCCATCCAAAACGATTCAATCATCAGCGGCCAAGCGTTTTGAACAACAAAAACATAACGAAGAAGTGCGACGGCAATCAATTGGCAGTCAGATTGTCGGTAAAGTATACAAAATTCGTAATCTTCTAATAGATAAATGTAAAGCGCAAAACCTTTCTCGTAGAGCTAACATTCTAAAACCAAAACTTGTTGAACTTAACTTTTTGCTGAAAACCGCTTCTGTGTGTTTGTATTGAGCTGGAGCTGTAAAATCTATAATAATTCCTCTACTAAACATATTTGCACCCCTTAAAATAGTCTATGTGTTTGTTCTGGGAAGGAAGCAAGCTTTTGTTAATGTAATCAATCCGTGATTAAGCTTGGAGTTTATCTAGTATATCTAGAGTATTCTTGTCTTATTGGCATTGGATAATATCTGTGACAACTTGCTATTCCTTCCCATCCTGTGTATGTCCAATGATGTAGTAGTTCCCATGTAAGCCTGTGTTCCCCACTGAATCCCAATAGTTGTGTACTAGATATATGTATGTGCTGTTTGTGTGTCTTTGTGTCCTCAGTGGGCTTTGTATATGTGGATATTGAGAGATCTTGGTTTTAATTTGACAGAAATTCCAGAGGAGAGCGCCGTGGAGGAGAAGGAGGACACCTGTACGCCGGAGCATTTGCACCGCTTGTATGTATTCGCGCTGGCCTGGGGCCTGGGGGGTTATCTCTCGACCACTGATCGTGTTAAAATGAATCTGTTCGTTAAGGAAACTTTTCCGCAGTTGGACTACCCGAAGGGTAGTGCCCATGAGAATACAATATTTGACTTTTTCGTTTCTCCAACGGGCGTGTGGCAGTCGTGGAAGACGCTGGTCACACCCTACATGTATCCGGAGCTTTCCACACCGGACTATTTAAGTATTCTGGTGCCCATTGTGGATAATGTGCGTATCGACTATCTGATCGGCACCATTGCCAATCAGGAGCGCGCCGTGATGGTCATCGGCGAACAGGGCACTGGCAAAACCGTCATCATGAAGAATTTCATGAAGAAAATGAACATCGAGACCTATATGGGAAGGTCATTCAATTTCTCATCGGCCACCAGTCCGTATCAATTTCAGCGCACAATCGAAAGCTATGTGGAGAAGCGAGTTGGTGTTACGTTCGGACCACCCGGTGGTCGTAAGTTGATCGTCTTCATTGATGACATTAATTTGCCCGAGATCAATGAGTGGGGCGATCAGATAACCAACGAGATTGTGCGACAGTCAATGGACATGAAGGGCTTCTATAGCCTGGAGAAACCGGGCGATTTCACCACTATTGTGGATGTACAATATGTGGCGGCCATGGGTCTTCCCGGCGGTGGACGCAATGACATACCATCCCGTTTGAAGCGTCAATTCTGTGTGTTTAATTGCAATATACCCGACAACGATTCCATTGATAAGATCTTCCGCGTTATCGGTGAGGGTCACTACAATGCCAAGCGCGGTTTTGTGCCCGAGGTTCGCAATCTGGTCAAGAAATTGATACTGGTGACACGGCATCTATGGCAGCGCACACGAGAAAAGCTATTGCCTACGCCAGCGAAATTCCACTACGTTTTCAGTTTGCGCGATCTATCTCGCATCTGGCAGGGCATGGTTGGCACCTTATCCACAGTGATCACCGCGGAGAGCGTGCTCATGTCATTGTGGAAGCATGAGTGTACGCGTGTGTTTGCCGATCGTTTTACCACATTCCAGGACAAGGAGTGGTTCGGCTCAGAGTTGGCAGCGCTAGTGCGCGAGGAGCTGGGTGAGTCCCATTCCCAAATGATAATACCGAATCCGGTATTTGTGGACTTCATGCGGGATGCCCCCGAGCCGACTGGCGAGGAGGGCGAGGACACTGATATGGAATTACCCAAGGTCTATGAACCGGTGAACTCTCATAACTCGTATGAAGCGCTACGCGAGCGTCTCGTTATGTTTCTCGCCCAATTCAATGAGATGGTGCGAGGCTCCGGAATGGATTTGGTTTTCTTCCCAGATGCAATGCTGCATTTGGTGAAGATCTCCCGCATCATTCGGCATCCGAGAGGCAACGTTATGCTAGTCGGGGTCGGAGGTTCTGGAAAACAGTCGCTGACGAAATTGGCATCCTTCATTGCCGGCTACAAGACATTCCAAATTGCGTTGACGCGTTCGTACAATGTGGCCAACTTTTTAGAGGACCTAAAGCTGCTCTATCGCACCTGCGGCGTTCAGGGCAAGGGCACAACCTTTCTCTTCACCGATATGGATATCAAAGAGGAAGGTTTCCTCGAGTATCTCAATAACATACTCTCGAGCGGCGTCATATCCAATCTCTTCTCGCGCGATGAGCAGGCCGAAATCGTGCAGGAATTGACGCCGGTCATGAAACGCGAGAATCAACGCAAAACAGCGACCCCGGAAAGTGTGATGGATTTCTTTTTGGCGCGCACCTGCACAAATTTGCACGTAGCTTTTTGTTTCTCACCTGTGGGAGAGACATTTAGATCGCGGGTGCAGCGCTTTCCCGCCTTGGTCTCCGGCTGCACCATCGATTGGCTGCATCCGTGGCCCAAGGACGCATTGGTCTCGGTTGCCAGACACTTTCTCAGCCACTTCGAGATTGAGTGTACACCGGCCGTTAAGGAAGAGCTGGTTAATGCGCTCGGCTCCATTCAGGACATTGTTGCGGAAACATCGCACGAATATTTCCAGCGTTTCCGTCGCGCCACTCACGTGACACCCAAGTCTTATCTGAACTTCATTGCCGGCTATAAAAACATTTACCAGCTCAAGCAGCAAGAGCTGCGCGATGGTGTGGAGAAGATGGATACGGGTTTGGAGAAACTGAAAGAGGCCTCCGCCTCGGTTGAGATTCTAAAAAAAGATCTGGTCGTGATGGAGGAAGAGCTAGTCGAAGCCTCCAAGAACGCTGAATCTGTGTTAGTCGAGGTCACTGAGCGTGCCATGCAAGCGGAGATAGTCAAGAATCAGGTGCTCATCGTCAAGGACAAGGCGGAGGCTCTCGTTGCCTGCATTGCCAACGAGAAGGCCTTGGCCGAGGAGAAGCTTGAGGCAGCGAAGCCTGCCTTAGAGGAGGCTGAGAATGCGCTGAATACCATCAAGCCAGCTCACATAGCCACGGTCCGTAAGTTAGGTCGTCCGCCGCATCTTATAATGCGTATCATGGACTGCGTGCTCATCCTGTTTAAACGAAAGCTGCATCCCTGTATACCCGACTCGGGCACACCGTGTCCGAAACCCTCCTGGCAGGAGTCCCTAAAGGTCAGTCAGTTCTGCTTGTCCACTAATTTCCACTCCAGGCTATTCTCTGATTGCATCTAGATGATGGCCAGTGCCACGTTTCTGCTGCAACTGCAAAACTACCCAAAGGATACCATTAACGATGAAATGATAGATCTGCTGCAGCCCTACTTCCGCATGGAGGACTACAACATGGACATGGCTCGCCGTGTGTGCGGAGACGTTGCGGGTCTGCTCTCCTGGACCAAGGCAATGGGCTTCTTCCACAGCGTCAACAAGGAAGTGCTGCCCCTAAAGGCGAATCTCACGCTGCAGGAGGCGCGCCTTAAGGTAGGTTAAACGAAAAAGTAAAGCTGGTAAATTCGTAAATACTTTCCCACAGCTTGCCATGGACGATCTGGCTGGAGCCGAGGAGCAGCTGCGTGAGCGCGAGGAGGCGCTACAGGCGGTCAAAGATCAGTACGACAAAGCCGTAGGCGAAAAGCAACGCCTCATGGATGCAGCCAATGTCTGTCTGCGCAAGATGACGGCAGCTACGGCGCTCATCAATGGCCTGTCGGATGAGAAGCATCGCTGGACCAACCAGAGCAAAGAATTCAAAATACAGCTGGGCAAGCTGGTGGGCGACGTGCTCTTAGCCACCGGATTTCTATCCTATTGCGGGCCGTACAATCAAGAATTTCGGGCAAATCTGATCAGGACATGGATGGGCATACTCAAGCAGAAAAGCATTCCGTTTACCACAGGTCTCAACATCATCAATATGCTGGTGGACTCCTCGACAGTGTCCGAGTGGACACTCCAAGGTCTGCCCAATGATGATTTATCAGTGCAGAATGCGCTCATCGCGACCAAGTCGAGCAGCTATCCGCTGTTGGTGGATCCTCAGACTCAAGGCAAGATCTGGATCAAGTGCAAGGAGGATCGCAATGAGCTCCAGATAACCTCGCTAAATCACAAATACTTTCGCACGCATCTGGAGGACTCGCTATCCCTGGGCAGACCGTTGCTTATAGAGGATGTGGGCATCGATCTGGATCCGGTCATCGACAATGTGCTGGAGAAGAACTTCATCAAGTCTGGCAGCATTGAAAAGGTGTTGGTGGGCGATAAGGAGTGCGATGTGATGCCTGGCTTCATGCTCTATATAACCACCAAGCTGCCCAATCCGGCTTTCAGTCCAGAGGTCAGCGCCAAGACATCAATCATCGATTTTACAGTCACCATGCGTGGCCTGGAAGACCAGCTGCTGGGACGCGTCATCCTAATGGAGAAATCCGACTTGGAAGCCGAGCGCGTGGCTCTCTTTGAGACGGTCATGCAAAATCAGCGCAACATGAAGGAGCTCGAAGCGAACCTCTTGTTACGCCTCAGCTCCTCGCAAGGCTCCTTAGTAGACGATGAGGCGCTCATCGAGGTGCTGCGCGTGACCAAAACCACGGCAGAGGAGGTCAACCAGAAGCTGAAGATCTCCGAGGTAACCGAACGCAAGATAATGAAGGCACGAGAGGAGTTCCGAGCGGTGGCCAAGCGAGGCTCCATTCTGTACTTCCTCATTGTGGAGATGAGTAATGTGAATGCCATGTACCAGAACTCCCTCAAGCAGTTCCTCGTCATTTTCAACAACTCCATCACCAAGTCAACCAAGTCCAGCGTCACTGAGGAGCGGATTAACATTATCCTGCGCTACCTCACCTACGAGGTCTACAAGTTCACCAATCGCAGTCTGTACGAGCGCCACAAGCAGCTCTTCACCCTGATGCTGGCCATCAAGATTGACTACCACAATGGGAATATCAGCCATGAAGAGTTCTTAACGTTCATTAAAGGCGGTGCTTCGCTTGATTTGAACGCCGTGACGCCCAAGCCGTTCCGCTGGATATTGGACATTACCTGGCTGAATCTGGTGGAGATTAGCAAGCTGGAGACATTCTCGACAGTGCTGCAGATCATCGAGCTAAACGAGCGCGACTGGCGCAGTTGGTATGAGTGTGAGAAGCCGGAGAACGAGGAAATACCCTGCGGCTATAACTCCGTGCTGGATAGCTTCCGCAAGCTGCTGCTAATACGCTCCTGGTGCCCGGATCGAACAATATCTCAAGCTAAGAAGTATATAGAGGGTGAGTTTGAATGGAGATTGTAATGCAAGCAGCTCTAATTCTTTGTGTCTACAGAATCTTTGGGGCCTGAGTACAGTGAGATGCAGATCTTGGATCTGGAGGCAACCTGGGCTGAATCGGAGCCACGTACTCCCTTCGTTTGCCTGCTATCCATTGGCTCCGATCCGACAACCCAAATCGGTGCATTGGCCAAGCAGAAGGGCATCAGTAAGTGTGATTGGGCATTCCGTTTGGCTTGTCAGTTTATGCTTCTCTCTCTCTCTCTCTCTCTCTCTCTCACCAGCTCTCAAGTGCGTTTCCATGGGTCAGGGCCAGGAGTATCATGCACGCAAAATGATCATGGAGTCGATGGCCCATGGCGGCTGGGTGTTGCTGCAAAATGTGCATCTATCGCTGCCCTTCTGTTCGGAGGTCATCGACATGCTGGTGGAGACGGAGCACATTGATGACACCTTCCGCATGTGGGTCACGACAGAGCCGCACTCTGAATTTCCCATTGGCCTTCTCCAGATGGCGCTCAAGTTTACCAATGAGCCCCCACAGGGCATTCGAGCCAGTCTGAAGCGCAGCTATCAGGTGGGAGTGTCTATTAAGTAGCACTGAAATAAACTGTATTTACAATTATATTTTGCATCATAATTTGATCCATATATGTATATATAGAATATTTTCATATGACAACATAGTTTTTGATTTCCTAAGAAATTTCTTAGAGTGTATTCAGTTAACTTCTTTCCCCTCCACTTTCTTTCGCAGTCGTTTACCCAGGACTTTTTGGACTACACCTCAGCCACCCAGTGGCCCTCTCTGCTCTATACCGTTGCCTTTCTGCACACCATTGTCCAGGAGCGACGCAAATTCGGCCCGCTCGGCTGGAATATACCCTATGAATTCAATCAGGCGGACTTTGCAGCCAGCGTGCAGTTCATACAGAATCATTTAGACGAAATGGATCCCAAGAAGGGCGTGTCATGGCAAACGCTGGTCTACATGATTGGCGAGGTGCAGTATGGAGGCCGAGTCACAGATGATTTCGACAAGCGCCTGCTGACGACGTTCACCTCGGTGTGGTTCTGCGAGCAGCTGCTCTCCAACACCTTTGAGTTCTACAAGGGCTACAAGGTGCCCAACACGAAGAGCCTGCAGGGGTTCATCGATTACATCAATAGTCTGCCCGCCTACGACACGCCCGAGGTGTTTGGCTTACATTCAAATGCTGACATCACGTACCAGATTAACTCGGCCAAAGGTGAGCTCAAATTTGATTTGGTTCTTCTCAATTTTGGTTTTGGTTTTCCGATTATTTGCCATTTCGCGCAATTGAAACAACTGTTGAATCTCTGTGGCCAGGTCAATGACACAGCTCACTAAAGGACGACCAAATCGAAATGGGAATAGAAAATTGAATGAATTCACTTTGTTATCTATTTAATTATGTTTGAATATATGGGAGTGATTCAAAGCGTGAGCTGAAAATGTTTGTCGGTCTTAAATTGTGAAAAACTGAAATAAAATATACCAGCACCATGTTAATGTGCGCAGGGTATTCTCTAGTCGAGCACTCGATATATCAATGTTAATGTGCGCAGGGTATTCTCTAGTCGAGCACTCGATATATGTATATGTGGCTCGTTCTTTTTTATTTAACCATTTACATTTGAAGGCCTATTAATTAGCCGTATGACGTCAGCGCTGTGTAAGCCAGTCAATAAATAAGATAAATGCTTCTGATTTAATACACAATTTGCATTTGAACATGCCTGTATGTGCGTGTCTGTGTGCGTGTGTGTGTATAGTGTTGGCTGTGACCAACCAATAAATGAATTATATACATTTTAGTTGCGGTTTTGTGGCTGATTCTATTTTTGGTGCCCAAAAGGTGTGGCCAATCGGCGACCCAGGTATTTGCATAAGCGACAATCAGGCGACGCTTTGTACTTATAGTCCGTTTACGAAGGTTCACGGGGTATATTGAATGGACCGAAGTGTAGAACAGCTACTTTTACAGAGTATCTTACAGTCTATAACTGCATCTTTTCACTTACCATTTTGCAGGCATACTTGACACCATTCTGAGTGTACAGCCCAAGGAGGGCGGCGGGGGAGGCGGCGAGACTCGTGAGAGTATCGTCTATCAACTGGCCGAGGATATGCTGCGCAAGCTGCCCGCCCAGTACAATGCGTACGAGGTGCGTGAGAATCTGACACGCATGGGCATCCTACTGCCAATGAACATCTTTCTCAGGTGAATCAACGATGCCCGTGAGGAGGAGGCGGTGGTCTCTGCCTAGACTCGGTGTGACTAACCTATTTGTATACGATTTTAGGCAGGAAATCGATCGCATGCAACGCGTCATCAAGCGCGTCCACACGTGCCTCTGCGATCTGAAGCTGGCCATTGATGGCACCATTGTGATGAGTCCGGCACTAAAGGAGTCGCTGGACGCCATGTACGATGCCCGCATTCCGGAGACCTGGATGAAGGTGAGCGTGTGCATATCTGCGTGTGAAATTAGAGCAGATTTTACGCACTAGCATTTGCCTTTCCCTTAACTGTGGCAAATTTTATGGTCTCTTAGGTGCTGGCCAGCTGTAGCCTCTTTATGTACGTACGAACAGCTCCCCCACAGCGAATCGTGGCCTAAAGTAATCTCAGCCCGCCTTGGTTTTTGCTTTTCTCCTCCCCTTTTATTTTTATTTTTTTTGTCTCACGAGATTTTTATCGGCACACAAACACAAATTTGGTCCCAAAACTGGGCTGCTTTTATATAGTATGCTTATGTACTAGATATATATTTATATATATAAGTATGTATATATAAAGAGCCTCTGCTGGCTGGGAATGCCAAATTGTTGGCGCGTTTTCAATTGCCGCTTATAAAAGTTTGATTGATTTTGAGGGTTGGGATCTGGGTATGCAAAATTTATGCGTGTAAACGTTTAACGCCCCAGCACACCTTCTTTAATTGACACGCGGGCCATGACAAGGGCAGACGAGGCGTTTATTTTTATTTTCGTTCAGTTTTATTTTTTTGGGTATGAATAAGAATTATTGGCCAACTCAATTGGGTGTTTAGAACAAAGCAGACAAGTCCCGCTATTTTTTATTAATGATAGTCATGCAAGATTATTAACGATTTACCTTGGGAGATGTCCCTTAAATCGTGCTTGAATTTGAATGATAATATTTGAATATTTATTTATTTTATCAATGGAAAATATAAACTCTAGTCTGTTATTATTCTGACTTTATTTAAAAATTCAATATAAATGTTGAATTTTAAGCATGTACTTTGATTAACAAGTTAAACCGAATAGCAAGCGTTGTAAAACCAACTTCAGCTGACAACAAAAAACACTCGAAAGGCAACAACATCACACAACACACACATCATAACAAATTCATACACATCTCGAGACGGAACAGTTTAAAAAAAAAATATAAAGCGACTTGTATAAACTTGTATAAAATAATACATTGATATATTCATAATAATATAAGAAGAAGAATCGATTGGCAATCATGTTGAGGAGCTCGCGTCAAAAGACCTCATTCAAGCAGCGAAAAAGTCTAGGCTTTGACGCCAACAATGTGAATGCCACTTCTCGCATTCCGTTGGAGGTGCGCGATTATGGATTTGTTAAAGTTACAAATGCAAGCACCCCATATATTAAGAAAGACTCTCCGATTGACCCGAAATCGTTAATGGAACGACTCAAATACACTCAAGGCAAAATAAATACTTTCGGGTTGGCCATGTCATCAAGCGACATCGGGGATGATGATTCTGATGAGCTAATTATGCCTCAGCCGAAGCCGGAGATGACGTTTGAGATGAAACGGAAACTGTTCCATATGGCTGAATTTACAATAACGAAAGGCAAGAAAACTAGCGAAATGCACCATCCACGAGTCGAGAATAAGCTGCCCAAGCATTCTACTAGGGAATCTCAGCTGAAAGCATTGAAAGAGATGGAGGATTTTTGTCATGCAATGAACATCAAGATAAGCAAAGGCTTCGGACATTAGACACCATATATGTTAGCACGTTAACGCCTTATACCAAATTTATAATCTTATAACTTAGTCAATAAAGTCCTGCGAGCTCAATACTTTCTTAATATATGCCAATATCAATGCCACTTCTATTCTTTAGATATCCTGGGAGTCTACAACGCTCGGCTTTTGGTACACTGAGCTGCTGGAGCGCAATGGCCAATTCCGTACCTGGATTTCGACGGATCGTCCAAGGGTAAGCAGCTTTTCCTGTCAACCTGCTCCAGACGTCTGACATAAGCCACAAGAGAAATTCCTTGGCAGGCAGACACGCTAATTGCTTAATACATTCTGCTGAAACGCCCATTTTATCCTCGCTTTAACTCTTTCCTTACATTTTGCGTAAATTCGTCAACATAAAAAGGTGTTCTGGATGACGGGCTTCTTTAATCCACAAGGCTTCCTGACCGCCATGCGACAAGTGAGTATTTGTTATGCCAACGGAATTAGAGCAAACTCTTGAATAACGGCCAAGTGCATATTGTATATATCTCAAAGTGAGTTAGAGATACGGGTTAGATTTTCTCTTAAGCTGGATTATATACTGTCTCTCGTCGCTGGGAATTACTGTAAATAATTAATGCATACGTTACTAAATAGTGTGTTACCCAGGGGAAATGATAAGCATTTCATTATAAAAACGTGCTTCAGATATTTTAAAGATGTCCGTTTTGTAATACCCTGGATGGTATTTTGACTGAGAATGGGTATGAATAGACTTTCGATTAAGAATGCGTACAATCTAATGTAGACATAAAAGAGGTTTACTTAAGTATTTCCTACACTATAATTACCTTATAGTTCAACTTAACTGCAAATACCCAACATTCCCATCTTAGACATACTATTATTCTAGCAATTTATTGACATTTTATACATGTCAAGCTATTCACACATTTATGCAATTATTTTTCTTTCTCTCGCAACAATGTTTGCTGCTTATCGAACTGCTTCTATTACTGCTGCTCCTCCTGTTCTGGCATTGCGTATACGTCGCGTGTGATGGTTGAAATTGTCAGGAGGTAACACGAGCGCACAAAGGTTGGGCCCTCGACTCGGTTGTGCTGCAGAATCAAATAACGCGCTACAACAAGGAGGACATTACCGAGTATCCCACAGAGGGTGTATACGTGCATGGACTGTTTCTAGAAGGTAAGTACATCAGCCGGTGCCAGTACTGCCTGTCCTACCTCAACTTCATTCAACTCAAGTGCTAGACCGCTGCCAATTGCTAGTTCGCATTCAGTGTCTCGTTTATATTTGTATATATTGCATATAATGTATCCGCAATTGCCATATTCAGATGTTTGCCTTACAACGACTTCTTTTCCTTGCTCCTTAGTCCTTGCTCGTTGGTCTAGGGTCATGCCCTTTTGTTGACCCGGCAAATTGGACTTGGCTTGTTTGTGCGGTTCCTTTTTTCTCTCCTGCTCCCATCTACCTCTGTGTGTGATAATTTGAATGTTAAAGGCATAATTTGCGTGTGGTGTGCTCCATCCTGCAGATCTTTGTTGTGGTCAGCTCTTGATTAGCTGTGGGATTGGAGGACACAGAATTCGTAAAAGCTGAAAATGCAAAGCCAAACGAAACTTTTTTGCATATTTGTCACATATTTCATGTATAATATTTAAAATATGCTAAATTTGCTTTTGCTTGTTTTTTTGTTTTTGTCAAATGGTTTTTGTGGTTCATATATCATTTTACTACCACATCTATATAATTATTTAAAAATTTAAATATGTAATATGTAATATTGAATAAATGTTGGTAAGCAACATAATAATAATATTCATCATTCAATAGCCTTACTGAAAACTTCTTGAGCTCACATGCTTTGCATTCAATGGATTTGCCTGCTTATACCTTCAATTGCTTTTCATTGTTATCTGAGGAGATAGATAAGTGCCAACGAGCACTTTTCTAACGGCTGCTACGTGACGCAATAACCCAATTTCGAATATGGCAATAGAAAGGGAATGCATTCAAAGAGAAAGTCAACAAGACTCCAAGTGCAGCGTACAAATTAAATTACGTATACGCAGAGTGCCACATCTAAATTTGGACTTTTACGTGTACATTCATTGAGATGTGGACCAGGTGAAGCAGTTTCTCTTGGGGGGCTTCTGTAGGCTTTGTGTCTGCCTATTAAAAGACGATAAGTTTGGCCCCAGCTCATAAAAAGAAAATCAACATGCGTGGGCCCTAGCACGTGTGCTGCAAATGTAAGCTAAGTTTATGGGCCAAATTTATTTACATTGTCACAATTAGGTGGAATCTGCCAGGCACGGCTTCAACTTAAGCTTATTCCTTGAATTTTATTGCAGGCGCTTCGCTGGATCGCCGCAGCGGCAAGCTGATTGAGTCCAAAATGAAGGTGCTCTATGAACAAATGCCGGTTATCTACATATACGCCATCAACACGACTGCTGGCAAGGATCCCAAGCTGTACGAGTGTCCGATCTACAGGAAACCACAGCGCACAGACCTCAAGTACGTGGGATCCATTGATTTCGAGACGGACTTCAATCCCAAGCACTGGACACTGCGCGGCGTAGCGCTGCTCTGTGACATTAAATAAATACGGAATGGTAACATGGCACAACAAAATACACACACACATACACACACCCATACACCTACTTGTTGTTATTGTTTGCTCGGCTGTCAACTGTTTTGTACGCGCTGCTTGGCCCTCGTAATGGCCCTCTGATAATTATCGTCTTCGGGAGTCCTATTCTCGAAGGGGGCCAAGCCGCCTCTGTCTGTGGAGCGTCTCGTATAGTGCGTCAGAGAGACTACAAGTTTATTAATTATGTCCTCGAGCCATTCAAGTGGCGGCTCCCAGCGCACGTGCATCATACACCATAATTAGCTGTTTGAACCATGTATAGAATTTCACTTAAGTGCGTTGTCCTCCGAAAATAAAATTTTCCTTGACTTATCTAGTAAATTTAAAATGAGATTTTATTTTGGGAATGTCTTGGGCGAATAATCAACATCAATCAAAACGACTTTCTTCAACTAAAAATATTTATATGTGAACATTCCCTATAGTTTTATTAAATATGGAAGACCTTGTTGGTTGAATGCCATTTCAATATTTTTGTATCTTTTATTCATTGTTTTCATTAAAATAAATACATACAAGTATAATCCATGTAATATATATATATTTAAATATAATATTGAATATCGAATCATCTGATTCCATTTTTTGTTTCTTTGATTCAGCTTTATTTATGAGAAAATCATTTATTTACATAGAGAAAATCAAATTTGTTCACATCGAATTCATCAATATACATAAGTTGTTCGTGTATGCAAGTGTATATGTATGTGTGTTGATTCGTTCCATTGACAACGTATAGATTGTACATTTATTTAGTATATATCATGCATATGTAGATAGTTTAATCGAATTGAGTTTTTTATGCATAAATTAATTAGGTTAGAGTTGAGTAGCTCATCTACATTAAAATCGTTAGTTGTATTTATATGATTTGCAACCATTTGTTTCTCTTCAGTAAGTTTCCTAACTCTGCTATAACTTTCATTTAGCTACAAAAATGTAAGAAAGTGGATCGAACTGATATACATATATTTACTTCACTGCTCGTTACTTTCAGCTGAGTCAGTAAAGGCTTTACATTATCGGAAATATGTTTTGAAAATTGTATACAATAATTATTTTGAGCATCTGAACTTGTTTATATGGGAAAGGCGATATTATTTTCTTCTATTCATGAAAATAAATGTGAAAGAACTGATAAAAAATTAGCATTCCGCCCGCGGATGATTTTTAACTATTTGAAAATAATTAAAGCTTAGCATCAGCAAAAGAGACAAAAATGTATATTAATTAAATTATTGATTTAAAACGGTAAAACATTGAATTACAATTTGAAGCTGGCATGCACATATACATTATATAGCGTACCTTAATATATATATATATATGTAATGAGGCATGCATATTTCACTTTGAAAGATTTGCTTTTAAAAACTACACGTGTTTTAATTTTTATATTTTTTATTAAACAACATTCTGGCTTTTAACCAAATTCATATACATATACATATACATATACATATATATATATATTTATTTATCTTTTTTTTTTGCAATATTTATATTATGTGTGTCTTTTTTTTTTTTTAATTTTTTTGCTAGTCAATAAATACCATATAATTTGTTGAGTATCATTATTTTAGTGTTTAGGGAACGTTCGTTTCGAGTGGTTTGTGTTGCATATGCATCTGAGAGAGAGGTAGCATGAATCGTTACGTAAACCATTTAGTTTCAAATACCAAACACGAAATTCAAATAGTTAGTAGAGTGCGCGAGTTGTCGGTGAAAGCCTTTATAGGGGATTTTTAGGGGATGGTCGGGGCTCGTTTTCATCGGAGGGTTGCACACACAATATGTCTGCCTTGTAGACAGCCATTAGGAACCGTCAATTTAGCAACTACGAACATCTAGTTAAACTCTAAAGCTGTCTGTAGCTGTAGCTTTAGCTGTAGCTGCAGTTGTATCTGTAGCTATAGCAGTATCTGTAAATGTTTCTGTATCTGTATCTGTATCTGTGTGTTTGTGTATCTGTATCTGTTTCATTAGCCTTGGCTGCTGACACTTAATTAGCATAGTGCGAAGCTTTGTGCATGCGATAGATGAGACGCCACGGCATTCGAGAATTTGCATTGGTCGCTTCTAGCGACCTGTCCATGTCATCCATGGGCTGCTCGCTGGCCCAGTTCATGTTGGGCTCATCCAGCATTTCGTCTCGATCCTCGACAGAATTATCCAGATCGTCCTCAGTAGACATCAGGTCTGTTGCGCTTTTGCGGTGGCTGTTTTCATGATTTGTTTCGTTTGCAATTTCGTTTCCGTTTGACTGATGATGTTTGCCCACGCCCTCCTTGAGGGACTGTTGCAGCTGTTGCTGCTGCTCTTTTGCGGGTCGGTGTAGAAAATCAAAAAACCGTGACGCCGCAGAAGCCGTTGAGGGATCGGGTGAACCAGCTGCGTTGCCACTGTAGCCCCACAGTTGACTGGGGAAATGCTGCTGCTGCAGCTGCTCGCGACGCAGCTGCTCTCGCTCCCGTTCCCGCTCTAGCTGCACCTGCTGCTGGTGCTGCTGCTGCTGCTGCTGCAGCTTGTGCCGCATGCTCCCCCACGACGCTGGCTCCAGGAAAACACGTTTACCCACGTTCTTCAGTATGGCCCGATTCAATTCGACCTGTGCGCATCAAGTGCAAAGTAAAGAGAGAAAACGCTTGGCATTAAAGGAAATGAGTGCAGAACATGTCACGAGGAATTCACAATGTGAGTCAGCCACAGCTCCTATGAGATATGAACCTATGTATATTAACCTTAGCCCGTCTCTAGACACACGTGTGCTTTAAATAAGATAAATATTTAATTTCTCAAACAGCCAATTTGATTTATGCTCCAGTTTAACACATTTTAATTTGCATTTTTAACTCGATCCTGTAGGGTCATTTCCTCTACCAACTAAACTCATTACACTTTACTCTCATGCAGAGGAAATAAATAAATGAAAAACCTCTTTCCTCGACTAAATTAGTTATATTTTAGTGTCATGCACATAGTATGTGAATAAATAAATAAGAACGAGGTAATTCCAAAAAAATATTTTTTCGAAATACACTTATAATATATGTATACAATATTATAAATAAGAGCTGTTATCTTCTTTAACGATTATCAATGTATCTTTGGTATAAGATATCACTAGATTATAATTAAGTTTCTATTTTAATGTATCGATATTTTTCGTGGTAAACGGAAATTCATTTCAATAGAAAAATATAAGGATAAGACACACAAAGTTAATGCCCATTATTGCAAACATAATTGCATTGTTACTATAATTGTATTATCAATCATGCTTATCAGCAAACGATGTGGAGCTAGTAATCGGAATACCCATTTCAATGGGCTTCCAAAGCTACCTATCGAGCCTCTTACTTGCGGAACTGTTGCGTATATTAGATATTACACAATTTAGTCACACTTTGGGATATTCCTTGGACTGTTTACTGAAGATAAGACAGTACGCGTCAGTACGCATCGTTGGGAATTTTTCATTTTCAATTATGGTTGCCTTATAAAAGACACACAGACCCAAGAATGGTCAAACAGTTGGGAACTCACAGCTTGACAATGAAAGTCCTAATATTTGTAGTACTTATTGGGAGCATTCTAGTAGCTTTGACTGCAGCAAAGCCACAAGGATATCATCATGGAGACATTGAACACCAAATATGGCCATATGAAGCGAGCGACGGCCAGCAGAAAATGGGTCAACGACCGATGACTGTTGAGGGCTCTAATGGTAAAAGCCCGATATTGTACATCGTCGATATATCTTTAATATTCTTCTATATTTCCTAGATCGTCCTGACGAGCGTCCAGGTAGCGGACAGCGTCCTCCCTATGACCACGAACTAAGTCCGCTTGGCGGTCAACGTCCTCAACCCGATCAGCGTCCTCCATATAACCACGAGCACGGTTCATCCAATGGACAGCAATCCCAGCCTGATCAGCGTAATCCCTATAACCACGAGCAAGGTTCATCCAATGGACAGCAATCCCAGCCCGATCAGCGCCGTCCCTATAACCACGAGCAAGGTTCATCCAATGGACAACAGTCCCAGCCTGATCAGCGTAATCCCTATAACCACG